TCACCTGGGAGAAGGGGGTCCAGCTGCCGGGAGGAGGGGACCCGAGGCACGGGTCTAAGGTACCCCTCCTGTCCTCCTGACGCCTGCCCAGTCGTGCCAAAGTTGGCCCAGAACCACGCGGGCTGCTGCCTGCTACTGTCAGTGTCAGCATCGCCGGGGGAATTTGGTCGGCAGCTTTTGAGTGCCTCAGCCGTCTGCCTGTGGACGCGCTTAAGCGGCCTTGAATTGCTTTTGTAAAAATGCAGGAGGATCTCGCTTGGAGCCTCAGTCCCGTGTTCGGGAGTTTTGCCCCGGCCTTGCCGTGCCGGACTGGGCTGGCAGAGGGGTCTGGAGCTGTGCCGATCTACGGCCGTCGCAGTTACACCCTCCGTGCTCGCCTGCTTCCTCCGAGTCGGAGGATGCCTAAAGCTGATGTTGAAAAAAACCTGCTGAGATGCTCCTGTTATGTCCCCAGCCCTGCCAGACCAATAGTAAGGGATTAATACTTGGAAGGCAGAGTGGTTGGGCAGCCTGGTGCACACCCACACCCCGGGCAAGCAGGGTCCTTTCATTTTCGGTCAGGAGTGTGCTCTGTGCCGGGCTTTGACCTCACCACTGAGATGGTTTTCACTTGTGCGATTGCATGCAAATTCCTTGAATGCAGCTAGGTCTAAAGTCCCATCTGTGTCCATGGACGTGAAATAAATTGATGCAATATTCTTTTATTGGCTATCCCAACCTGATTTGCATTCATGGAGTTGCCGCTTGAGCAGCCGGAGTGGCTTCCCCAGCGTTAGCAGCGAGTGGTGTCTCTGCCTTGCCGAACTGAACGTTGAGTCATACATTCGCGTCTTTAAGAGAAAAAATGGGTCAGTTCCTGCGCAGCCTTTGCTGCTGCCTGGGAGCTCCTGACTCGCCGAGGCTCCAGAGCAGCGCTCGGTAACCCTATGGACGTGGCATTCTCAGTTTTAAAAAGGATTTGAGAAATAATACAGACACCAGGAAAACCGAAGGACAATCCCACTCTGACTGTCCTCAGGTAACGAAGAGAAAACTCTGCTTCCACAGAAGTCAGCTTGAGCCGGGCTGTGTGGGGAGCGTTGCTGCTGCGAGCCGCCCTGTGCTTGCGTAGCAGGACTTCAGCTGTCCTCCAAAAGCCTGCCAAGAAGGCAGTCATACACTCTAGAGAAAGGAGACACTCTGTAGTTCCCAGTCGTGTTTTGAGCCAGTTTCCATATTCTACCTCTCGCTGCATCCTTGTGTGGTTCCACACCGATGATGTCCACACAACCCCTACCATTGCATCAGAAACCCGTTTTGTGATCCACCACCGAGTTTTTTGGCCGGAAATCTCATTCTTTCTCACCTGCTTGTGACTGTGGCCAAGATCTTTTTCTTTTCTTAAAGGTGTGAAATCCCTTTTTAAAAATGCACACGGTCTTTCTGAGTCAGCCTGTTTACCCAGAGAATTGTTTTCACCAGCCTCGGAGCACATCCCGAAAACCCAGGTCAAACTATCGTGACAAGAAACGTGGAATTCACATCAAAACACTTGGCTTTAATGTTAAATCCTTCCAGTTCCATGTTGCCATCTGTGGGGTTTATCCTCAAATTCAAAATTAAGTGCATACTTCAGGGCTTTGCTGGCAGGGATGTTACACGCCAGGAGCACAGACCCTGGCTCTGAGGGCACGATGCCCTTTTTCACCGCTGAGGTGCTGCCCTGTCGCCGCAGACCTGAACCCATCCGAAAATGCGCGGTGCAATGCCCATCCCGCTGCGGGGAGGGTGAAGCCGAGCAGCTGGCATTCTGGTGCAGGGGGGACGCAGCTGCCGCGGGGTCCCCCATCCCTGCCTCCCCGCTGCAGAGAGGGGATCCCCGGAGCCGTCGCTCCTCTCGGGGGATGGCAGGGCCGGTGGGATGGGCTGCGCTTGGCGCGTCCCCGCTGCTGAGGGTGCTTTTCAGCAGGTGAATCTGAGCTGCTGCCCCCATATATGAGTGAATAATAACTATTATTATTAATTAATAACATTAATTAATATTAATAATAGGCCACTCTTCCGCAGCAGGAGCAACTCGGTGTGATTAAGGCTTAATTAATCATTGCGATTAGTTTTGCTCAAATAAGCCAAGAGCTGCCCAGCTGCTTCGAAGTGCTCCAGTCCTCCATCCCTCCGGAGATGAAGATGTTTATGTGTCAGGAGGGCCTGGACACCCTTCCCTCGCCATGGCGGCGAGGAGGCCTTGTGCGGGGCGTTATTTCTGCTCTTGCTCACCCAGGGTCCCGGGTCTTCAGCCGTGCTCCCCCACCGAAGCTGCTTGCACAGCTCTCCCTGACCCCCGTGCCAGGCTGGCTGCTCCGGCCCGCGGCCGGGGAATTTGCTGCTGGGGACCCATCCTCCGCAGATGTCTAACGCCCAGCGGCCGAGAGCTGGCTTACTCCCAGACCAAGCCCCTGCCAGCCTCCATCAGAGTCGGCAGAGGGACAGGAGGGGAAGGGGACGGCGGCGTGTCCTCTTCTGGGACGGGGCCAGGTGTCACTGGTGCTGGCTCCTGTACCGGCTTGCGGGGTGACTTTCAAGCAAGGAACTGCTGTTTGTTCCCCTGAATGCATCCTCACACCAGCTCTGTCTCATGCCTCCCCTCTTCCAAATTCACGGCAGGCAGAAACGGGAGAAGAGTTTGTCAGGTGAAGAGGGGAGAAGCGCTTTCCGCAGCCTTACCGCTGCGTAGGGAATGCCCCGGGCAGGGAGACGTGCGGAAAGTCAGCAGCCTGCCTCCCTCAAGCCCCTTCCGATTCCACCGCAGTCGGCGGCAGAGCTGTGTAATCTCCAGCGGTGTTTCAGTCCCTGTCTGTTCACCGCACGTCGGCAGGGCAGTGGTACAGCACCTCCCCGGCTCTTGGCAGCTGCCCTCTGTCCTGCAGCACAACACATGCATTCTCGTTTTTCTGCATCTCTCAGTTTTTCCTGATGGACACCATTATAAACCAGAGCAGAGGCCATCCCCAGCGACGACAATGACTTAAGATTAGTATTTAATCCAACACATTTTTGTTTTGATATTAATTTGGCTAAGCAGGTCCTTTTCCGAGTTACCCGTGTTCTTTAGCTCTGCGAGTACTGTCCCTGGGGGGGTTCAGGGGCAGCCTTGCAGCACCCAGGGGTGCAGATCACAGCCTGCTGGGATGCCTGGACCCAGAAGTGTCCAGCTCCCTCGGGAGGGGGTGCTCGGCCCAGCGGGTGCCCAAATAGCAATGGGTATCTCTTTCCTGGGTGGTGAGGACTAGGTCCTCAAAGGGACCAAAGCACCGAACTCAGTAGCCTCCCGAGGAGCGTGTAGGGGTCAGTCACCCAAACGTCCCTAATGGCAGGGGCTGGAGGCAAGAACATGGTCCTGGGTCCACCCGCCAAACTTCGGTCTTCCAGTGGATGATGGGGGAGAAAAATGCAGAAAGGCATTTTTGTATTGATGTAGGCATCCAGAACTGAAAAAAATAGTGTCTGATGCCTCCTGCAATTGTGTGCTTAATGCTAAGTAATCATTTCAACTACGTACAGGATCATACGGACGAAGGTGCAGCAGCCGCCCAACCAGCAGGTCCCAGCCTCCAGTCACAGCATAGGTATGGAAAACTTTTTTCTTTTTAATATAAAAAAAAAATAGCATAATGGATTACAAATATTCTAAAGAACTTTTAATCATTCTTATGGACAGATAATTCTGCATAAAACACTTCAGCACACGTGCTAATGCGCCTTCTTTGTCATTCTCCAAGGGCTGAACATAGTAAATGAATTTTATAAATACTGCTAAAAGGTTTTGAATTTTACTGATTATTATGATAAATAGCTTTCACCATGAGACAGAAAATTGAAATCTAAACCAAAAAACCCCCACTAATGGGGGTCTATAGAATGTCAGATAATTAAAGTAATAAATCAAGAAAGGGATACTTATTCATAACATTTTCTGCATCATTAGTCAGTAAGTAGTTTTGAATGTGTTTTTTTCATCTATCAACCATCCCTTCCATAATTCTTTGTGCACTTGCAGTCTTGAGTGAAGAGGTAGCAAAACTTTCCAAAACTTTAATTCAGCCACAAACCAGCGATGCTGCACCCTGGGGCAGGCGATGCTGGTGGCAGGGGCCCCTGGGAGGGGCGTCCCGGCTGCTGAGGCATCCTTAGCCCTTGGGGCCCCAACGACGTCTCTCTGGGGTGGCTGCTCTGCCGTGCTCTGCCAGGGCTGCTTTCCTTTTGCCCTCATTCCAGGAAAGCTGCCGGAGCACAGGCAAGCCCTCGCTCCGCAGGCAGAAGGGGGCGTGGGGGGGCGCCCGTTCCTCTCTGCCTTCCCGCTCTCCCCTGTGAAATGGGAAGTGCTTGCGGGCCCCCCTTGGCAAGGGTGGGCTGGCACCTTGAGACAGAGCATGGCTGCAGACCTGCCTGAGCTCTGCCAGCTTGTCGAAGAGATCACGCCGCAGCCCCGTGTCCTGAGCCTTTCTCTGGGACAAAAACAGTCTCAGAGGAGGAAGAGCACCCCTCAATTTGCTACGGTGGCTTAAGGGCTGTCTCTCCTTGAGGAGAACAAGAGCAGAGAAGACAAATCGTGTTTCCCAGGGCTTGGGGTTGCTAGAGGCAGCCGGGGTTCCTGGCAGGTTTGCTCGGTGTGGGCTGTGGCTGGGGGTCTTCGCTGTGGCCCTGCAGGGGACCCCCAGTGCTGGGGGCTGCGCGGC